TTATTAAGCCAGATGTGGTGGCACATGATTTTTTAAAAAATTATTTATTTAATAACCACACAATCAGAAGAAGCAATTCATTAAAACAGCATTGACATATTCAATAACAATTTCAAGATGCATGATGCATCTCTTTCAAAATTGGCTGTGAATTTTTAGGTTTACAGTTGAATTATTACAGTTATACAATATTGTACTCAGTATAAATCCTATAAGATATAAAATTAAAAGACGTTTTATATTTTAAAGTCTAGATTCTTATACTTAGCTTAATATCTGTTCATTTATGTTACACATATTCATTCCTTTATTGTTGTATACTATTGCATTGTTTGATGTATCTCAATTTTAAATTCATTCTTATGTAGGTGGACCTTAGGATTGATTTTTAAGAGTGAGGTTATTTAGTAGTAGCAATAGCTTTAGTATGCTGATGATTTGCCCTTATTTTAATAATGTATAAAAACTGAAGTTGCCCACTCTCCCTACCAAGCCTCAATTTTGTCAATCTGAAAAGGTTTGGTGATTCTGATGGTTGTGTGCTGGTAGCTTAGTGTTTTTTATGTCCTTGCCCTGATACTGAACATTTTTTCATATACTTATTGTTTTCTTTCATAGCCCACATATGAAAATTCTGGGAAAGTCTTTTGCATATTTTTCACTGACTTATGTTTTCATTATTAATTTGTAGAATCCTTAGAGTTCTGGATACAAGTCTTTCTCAGACTATCTTTAAAATGTATGTAATCTTCCTTGGACGGTTTATCTCATTTTTAATGACTTTAATCATTATAAAAAATATTTTATTTATTTTTATTTTATGTGTATGAGTGTATTGCATAATCATTTTAATGACTGAAATCCGTAATTTTAATAAACAAGTAGAATATTTTTTCCATTTATACTTAATGTAGCTATTAATACAGGGGTTTGTATGTGTGCATGTGTGCATGTGTCATTTTTTTTTTTTCCTGAAACAAGCGCTCTCTCATGTAAACCAGGCTGGCCTCAAGAGCCTCCTGTTTCTGCCTCCTGAGTGCTGGGATTACAGGCATGTGCCACCATGCCTGGCGTGTATGGTAATTTTGAGTTAATATGCATCTGTGCTTTTATTTTGAGTTAGTTTTTATTTTTGTTTACTTTTTATTTGTGTGTGTACATGTGTATAGAGTGCTAGGGATCCAGATTCAGATCCTCTTATTTATGCAGCAGACACTTTACCAACTGGGCTATTTTCCCAATCCTAGAGTTGGTTTTAATCTCCTGTGATTAATCACTTATTTTTATTCCATTTAATTACCTCTATAGCGATTTAAAACAGTGGGGCCTGGAGAGATGGCTCAGTGGTTAAGAACACCTGAGAATGTTCTTGCAGAAGACCCAGGTTTGAATCCTAGTACCCACATGGCAGCTAACAGCTGTCTGTAACTCCAGTTCTAGGGGATCCAAGAACCTCTTCTGTCCTCCCTGGGCATTGCACAATATGGGTGCACTTAGCTACATGCAGGCAATACATGCATACATATACAAAAATTTAAAAAATTTAAAAACATTTTATTATTTTTATTTTATGTGTATGTGTGTATTGCCTGCATGTATGTGAGTGCACCCATTTCATGCAGTGCCACGGAGGTCAGAAGAGGGCTTCAGATTCCCCTGGAACTGGAGTTAAGGACTGTTCATAGCTGCCATGTGGGTGCTGGGAATCAAACCCTGGTCATCTGCAAGAGCAGTCAGTGCTGTTAACTGCAGAGCCATCTCTCCAGCTGCATAAAATATTTTTTAAGTGCTATTTCATATTTATTCATGGATGTGCTTCTCAGTTGCTCTCTGGTGTGAGAATAGGTAGATTTTACTCTCCCTTATAATCAACATGCATTCAAACTTACCCCTCTCCAGAGATAACCTTCTGGGTCTATGAATTCTTCAAAGTCTTCTGTAATCTTATATATACCAGTATAGATGATAAGTGTGT